AAGAGCAAACTGGAGTCACTGAATTGCAGTTGAGTGCAAATAAACACACAAAGCCACCGCCACGTACAATTTGCTGCATCTATTTGGTAACTATTCAGCTCCATCTCCAGATGATGCTCTGTGACATCGGTTCAGTGCACATTCCTGTAGTAAAATTCATCTCTTCAGCAGCAGCTCTCAAAATGCTTTAAACAGTTGTGACCACACTGTCACCCATTGTTGCAGATGGGGACCTGGGGCACACACAGCCTCACCACTTGTGCCACGTCAACCAAGCAACACACAGAGCTCTGGGATTTTCCAATGCCAAGCTGAGAAGGCGGGAAGGGCCACAGGCTCCTGCTGCTCTGGGCTGCTGGAGCTTGTGGTGCCGCTCAGTGCCCACGCCTCGTACACAGGAGCTGGCACCAGCAGGAGGGGACTGTGGTGCTGGCTCCGTGGAGCTGCCATGAGGACAGAGCTCGTGACTTTACGCTTGTGTATCAGGAAATGGGTTGTGTGCATTTTGTTCAAGGCCAGTGTGTGGTGGCCTTGCCCATGGCAGGGGGGTTGGAACTAGATGATCTTAAGGTCCTTTCCAACCCTAACTATTCTATGATTCTGTGACATCAGCCTGAGCTAACGCCCCTCTCTCTGGTACTCTCCTACCAGGAACTTCTGGTGAAGAGCAGGTACCCCAAAAAATCTAAAACACAGTAGTAAAAATCAGACAGAAGCAACCAAAGAGATCTTTATAGCTGGAGTCGATATTGATAAACATTCTCAGATTGGCCTTAAGATACATACATACAAAAGAAGAAATAAACCAGAGCAGCTCCAGGTTGTCAACATGGAAATACTGTAAGATTCTACAGTAACATTAACATAATCCATACGCTGTAGCACCAGAGCGTGCAGTCGCAGCACCACTCCCCCATGCCTGTGTGCTGTCACTGTATCACCGGTGAGACTGAGCTCCTAAGAAAGACATTCCTAAAAGATGTACAGAGCTGCTGCGTGAGGTAAAGTGTGAAGGTAGCCAGCAGGAGTCTAAAGTTGGAACTTCTACATTAGTTTTAACCTATAGAGCATGCAGCCAGTAGCTAACTGTGGAAGCTGATGCTGAACTTACCTGGGGAGAAAGGAAAGCTTGAAAGAGAACAACATAATAGTTGTGCTAAAAATGTTCTCTCCATTTCTGGTGGAAAAACTCAATCGAAAACCTCTCCAAAAGACTGCAGCATTTCTCTCCCAGACATGAGGGATGGAGATTTCCCAAAGCCTGTGCTGCATGCAGGATGAGCCTCGGCTACACACCATCCCTGCTGGAAGCAGCAACACACTGGTAACGGACGGAGGCGGTTCAGTGTGATGGGTGGGTGCTATTGGCATCACTGGGGTTACACAAGCGGTTTTATTGCTATTCTAAGAGTGCTTTGACATGTTTCCCTCCCTCCCTGCAGCCCAGCCAGTGCTCTGCAGTTATTCAGTCGTTCTCATTAACAATTCTTTGCCAAAAGACACATCCGAGTGATCTTACAGAACTGTAAAAGCATGAAAAAGCAGAACCTTTAAATCAGCTTCCACATCAGTAATTAACACAGACAAGGGCTATAATGGAAAGGCTTTTTATTTTTGCCAGGTAACACCCCTCCCTGTATAAAGGAAGTAATGAGGAAAGGGATAAACCCAAGAAACCTGCCCAGCGCTACTGTAACTGTGAACGTTTGGAAGCTGGGTGCGAGAGCTGCAGCAGAGCCCTGCTCACTTCCTCCATTGCCAGTGAGCAGCAGAGCTGGTTCTGAATACTGCACCACTGGGTTCACATACCAGAACAACAAGACGGATGCTGCCGGTGGCATTTTTAACTCCTTGGGCCTTCTATGAGATATTCAAACAGACCTTGGGCATATTAATAAAGCCAAGTCAAAATTAGAAGATTTTAAAATTCATGGCAGGGAGCTCACTGTGCTGGTCCCGCATTCTTGTCAGCAGTAATTCACTCTAAAATGCCTATGGAGTGCAAACTGAACGCTTTAACTCTAACAAAGATAACAGCCAACACACATAAATAAGACTCATTTCCTTTTGAAAAACATCATGGGAAAGTAATTCCCACTGCATGATTGATGGAGACTGCCTAAGTATTAATAAATATATTACACATATTTACAAGCTTCTGATTTCATCCTCTGACGCTGACGTGAAGCTCGGAGCATAACTAGGACATGCCAGGCAGCACCGCAGGGTGTGCAGGCGAATGGCTGCAGTGGATTTGGGATGCGAGCACAAGCAGCGAGATGGAAAGCTAAAAATAGCTGGTTCTGCAGCGAGCCCGGCAACCAGCAGAGCCCAGCTCCTTCAGCTGCGCCCGAGCAACCAACCCACTGCTTGCTCTTCTGCGGGATGAAATGCCAGGATAATGTGGAGCAACTGTGCCAGGGAGGAAGGGATGGGAGGGAAGGGGAGAGGCAGCCCTCCACACCATGGTTTCGGGAGCCTGCCATGGCATGTGCCAGCAGCCCAAAGGGTTTTTCCCAGGGAAAAAGGGAGGTTATCCAGGCCCTGCCCCAAGGCAGCTCTGCATGCCCAACATGGAGCAGTCTGTACAACCATCGTGGTGTTGTCCAGTGTTTGTGCCCTGTCCAGGATGGCACAGCCCAGGCTGAGCCAAGGCAAGCAGAGGCTGGATCCCAAGGCTCCGCTGCTTCCCCAGAGCCCCCCTGCACATTGCCAGGGTGGATGGCAGCACAGGGATGCCACGAGGGACACATTTCCCTTTGCACGCTCAGGATTTACTTAGTCCTTGGTCCTGCTTGCTCTGCAGTTGTCTAAATCTCTCTCTCAAAGGGGAAAACAGACGTGCTGGATACCCCGCACCTGAGACGCTTGAGGATGCCAGGGAAGAGGACTATGAGCAGAGGACTGAGCAACTGGAACACGTGGCTGGGGCATTTCCAGGGTAAAATGACCAGAACAACAACAGGAGAGATACAAAGTGAGATTTCCTGCATTTCCTTCTGTCTAGTTTTCCTGATGCGCTGTGCAGCAAACACACGGCCAGGTTTTGGCACAGAAACAAGAAAAAGTGCTGATGTGACTGAGATCAGGCGACCCTTCCAGCAGCTGCAGAGCTATCAAATCCGCCTGTGCTGCTCACCTCCCGCAATCCTACATCCTCATCTCACGCCAGTATTCCAGGTGCTTTAGCATGCAAGACACTTTTCCAGAGGTACCCCAAGGAGGGGGCCCTGACACCTCACCTTACATGGGACAGCTATGGAGGAGAGTCAGCCTTGAGCCCTGCTTTTCCTGTTTGCATTGGCTCAGAACAAAATAAACCCATTCTATTTCCATAAGCCCTGCATAGGCAAAAATTGTCATGTTCTAAGGGGGTGTTTAAAGAAAAATAAGGACGGGCAAGACCCTGGGAAGGTTTAAGGAGACTTTTGCATGTGCTTTTCAAATCAGCTTAGAAGATATGAGTGGCTGCTCCAAAGGCTGCAATGTAACATGCAAATACACTCTGAAGGAGAAGCCTTGGTGCCCTGGGCAGCAGAAGGCGGCCAGCAGTGGGACTGGAGCTCTGAATTCTACACTGGGTAGAATCAAGCAGCCCTGGTACCCCACAGCCCCAGCACCATCCCTCACCAGGGGGAGATTTGGACAGGAGAATCTGTTTTGATTACTACAGCTTTAAAACCACGTTATGGGAAATCCAGTCCCAGCTACTTTGGAGCAGTTCTGAGGTATCTCTCATTAATCCGAAGTATAGAAATGTTAATAAATAGATCTGAAACTTTTCTGCTATGTCATTCTATAATACACTGCTATATTAAATATGCCTCAGGGTATTAAAAAATTTATGAAAAAGTTACAGTAGTTGATTTTCAAGTACGAATAACTTGGCTACGTTACCTTGCTCTGAAATACCAAAATGAGCCGGCCCCAAATTATTGACTAACTCTGGTTACGCCTGAATTTAAAAACAAAAGTATTTTGAGTATAAAAAAAAGTGCAAAAAAGCATGAGATGTCAGTTAACATTGTAACATTGCTGGAACCTCTAAACAAGTAGCCTAGCACTCTTGTGAGTGAGTTAAAAAGGGAAAAGGAATGAAAAAGGATTAAAGAAAAGATTGCTCCCAATCTGAGACAGCACCGTCCCAAATTTCTGCAGAATACGAGTTTTTACAGCCAAGTTATAAACCCCAGGAAAAATGGGGTTGTCAGTGGATATGCTGTCAGCCATAACTATAGCAGTATTTGTGTGCTCCATTATAATACAAATGTACACCTTACCCACCGTTTTCTCTGAGTCACCAACTTTACAGGTATTCAGTTACAACTAGAAGCCTCCCTTATTTCCCATCCTCCCCATAAACTGTACAAATCTGTCTACTACGAAAATTCACTGCTACTAGTAGTCATCATCATACATTCAAGATAGATAGAAAGTAAACTACTAAAACCCGCTCAGGAGACACTTAGAAGTACACTAAGGCTTAAAAAGTACAGCAGCTCAGGGGAACAGCTAACCACACTGGTGAAGAGCTTTGTCACATATGTTGCCCTTGGACACAGCCACCGTGGAGTGCTGTGCTGAACCCTGGTCTCAGAGCAACTGAAACAGTGCAAAGGAAGATGGGTTTAACCACAGTCACTCACACTCCGTGTCTGGTGTGCGATACGACCCTTTGTTGTTTCAACTAGGACACGAGCATTACTAGGGTGGTAATGCCAATATGACTTACTGTTTGCTACTGTGCTAACACTGATGCTTTGTTAGATTTGGTTCTCCATGAAAGGTATGTTTGCAGCTCATCTCCTGGAAAATGATTCAAAGCATGGTTAAAAAAAGACTGAAAGCAAGAAAAGGCTTTCTAGTTTCAACACACACATACAAAAGAGGCAACAATTTCAAACTATCGTTTTTCTTCCAGTGTGAGCAGCTGACCCACTGTGTACCCTCCTACACGGATCTAAACAACGCATTCTGTGTCTCTGGGAACCACTGCACTAGGAAATCCTGTGATCTAATGCAAATTCAAGCTGGTCACGTGAAACGAAGCAATGGAATGATAATCCCATTTCAGTGACCTTGCTCATGGATGATGACCTCATGAAGATAAAAGCAAAGCAAAAGGCACGAGGCTCAGATCTCATTGATAGTCCTTTCAGAGGGGCAGTATTCAGAGGTTCCCGGTGATGCCATGTAGAAGGATTGTGTTTTCCCTTTTAACCTGGCTCTCTTGTTGGCCAGAGATAGGCTGCGCCGGCTTGAATTGATGATTTCTGAAATAAACTTCTTGCAGTCCACACACACCTCCATGGTGCTCCAGTCCTCCATTAACTCTTTGGGAAACTCTTCATGTGACCTGTCTACAGATTTGGACCTTGAGGTCAACCTGAAAGGCAAAAGGGCAGAACCTGTCATGTTAATCTAGCAGCATGGCAGGCGGACCCAAGGGAAACAGCACATCAGAATGGTCTTGATTTGAATCTTCCTTTCTTCTGTCCCAGAAATGACACCAGGAGACCAACCAACCAGCAGCTTCTGCCTGCTTTGGTAAGATTGCAGGGTCACTATCTGGGGCCATGTGTAACATTTACCTTGGCAAAACCGATCTCACTAATAACTATAAATAGAGGATGTGCTTGGCTAATTTGACTCGGCATCACACACTAGTGATTTATGCAGAGGGTTTATACAGTAGGTGCCTTCAAAAAAGAGCATTTATTTTACATTTAATTTCCTGGGATTAGCTTTGGCAACCATTTGTGTAGAAGATACAAAACCAGTAGGTAACTTCATAATATCTAAGGGAAAAAAAAAAACCCTCCAGTGAAAATTAGAATTAAAAAAAACCCAGGAAACAAAAGATAAATCTGTCAAGACATCATTGAATTCCCACTCAGTGAGTGATTCTAGCCTGTGAGATTTGTTTCAGGAGAGCCTATTCACACCAGAAAAAGACATGCTAAGGATATTTTTTAGAGATGCTGCAGAAATACCGTTGTTCCAGACCCACATTATTTTTCAGCTGTAACGTGAAAAAGGCTTAAGACATGCTGTTAGTTCTGCTTTTCTGTGAATCAAAGCAATGAGTGGAAGAAACATGGATTTTCAGGCTTCAGAAAGGTTACTACGAGCATTAGAAACATTGATGACTACAAACCAGGTAGTCAGCATCTTCTTAATGCTTGATAACCCAAAATGAAACACTTTGGAAGCATGTGCGATAGACACATGTGAGCTGGGGTTGTTTCTCACCTGGACATGCTCCGCAGTGAATGGTGGTGACTGGTAGAGGGTTTCTCTGGCCTCATAAAGCTCTCTCCTCTTTGCAAGGTTGAAGGTCCCAGTGAGAAGATGGGGAGAGTAGAATATGGCTTGGATGGCAACCGCATCTTTGAGAACAGCAGAAGGGACATGCAGCATCATTACAAAGATTACAGCCTTTCAGAAGGGATCTAACCATATTTTTACTTACTTACTTTTTTGCAACACTGTGAGCATACAGGCCTGTGTAAGAAAGCAAAAGCATGAGTCACTTCATTGGGAAAAAATCACATTTAGATCAGGAATATGGGATAAATGTTTTCAGGAGTTACAATCCTCATCTTTATTTTTAAAGCTTCTTCAATGTGATAACTTCAATCAGAACGTGAAGCCAAAAGCAAGAAGAAATGCTAAACAAGAACTACAGCTAAATTTAAAAATAAACCAGAGAAAAGCAAAAGCAGAAGCTGTTCTTCCTCTAAAGAAACCTCCTTTGGTGAGACAGCCAGTGATTCCATAGATCTCCACACTTACTGTCTCACTGTTCACATTTTGAATTTGCCTGCAAATGACTCCTTTTCCCTTTCCCCCCACCAATACTCCAAATCTCCCCCAAAGGCAAACGGCCTTGAAATGTTCTCCCCAACAACAGAGATTATAGAACTGTTGGCTGGGGGGTCTGGGTGAATCCTATCTCACTCTCCCATGAGCATAGAAGAACTGAGTGTTCAAATGAGTGTTTCTCTCACTTTTAGCCAAGAGTTTCAGCCCAAGGAATAAATTCTGTCACTTAGGAAGGAACTGGTTTTGCATGGTTTTTTTACCATTGACCGTTATAGAAATAAAACCAATCAACAGCATGCAGTGGAAACATTTGAGGGTTTGTAATGTTTAAATCAGTATTTTTTCCCTCTGAAATGGTATTCATTTATTAACAGATGTTAAATATTTACCTCTTACAGAACTGACAAGTGTAAGACCAGGTAAAGAAGGAAAACCTCCTTGTTCGACAGCAAAAGCAGAGCTGGAAGAAGAACAGAGGAGTCCACAATGTTAGGCAAAGTCCCGCACAGCAATGACTGCAGCTATAGTTGCTATCAGCGAGCCCACAGCTGCAGTACTAAATCCAGTTCTGGGTCCATACTTCTAAGATAATACTGAAAAGAATGGTCCAGAATTGTATCTTCATTTAGAAATACTCCTTTATTATTTTATCTAAATTAAACACTTGCCAGTTAATTATTAGATTATTTTTACTTCTCCCTCACTGATTTCTTTTATCATTATTACACAAAAAAGCAACAGGAAAGTCAGAATAACAGCAGTAAGGAAGGGAACTGCTACAACTGAACAACACAAGAACAACTGGGCATAAGTTCAGCCTAACCCTCCTCACCACCTGGGTCAGGTTCTGGGAAACAAAGTTTTTGCCTGTGATAACATTTGGTGATTTTCTTCCAATTCTACATTCTTGAAAACTAGAGGAGGTGCAGGAACAAGCTATTATAGCAATGTTGCTTGAGGAACAACTGCTTTATATTGGGATAATAAATCCCATCTATTGAGTTTATTCAGAGAAGGCAGGGATCAAGCTTAAGACATTTCTAGGAAGGAAAGGTATTGAACAATGAAAAATTTTGCAGTCAAACAGAAGTTGATAGACTGAGATCCAGAGACTCGTGCGAGGCTAGATGAATTTTGTTAGAAATAAAAGTGAACAATTTAATAGTGGGGTAAAAGAATTAAAGCATCAACTTACTCTGAGATTTGACAAAAGCTCATTACTAAGCTTTATACATCATGACAGCAGCCATGATTAATCTAATGAATGGCATTTTAAGATACTTGTTCCTCTGTCTTAAACATACTAAAACTTTAAATTAAATCTGCATACTAGACAGAAGTAGGCCTGTAGGTAAAATACACTGTGAAGTCAAAATACACTTGCTAGAGGTGTTCAAGAAGCACAATCAAAAGTGGGAGAAAGGGACACTGCTTCTACTGGTAAATATCAATTCCCAATCTGCAGTTTACAGAAAAAAAATGCATTAGTTATGGGTTCTCTAATATCAAATCTCCTTCGAGGGTCATACATTGTCTGACTTTTCTAAAGGCTTTCATTCCTTTTTTGCTTGATAGTAAGGATCCATATGAAAACCTTGTTGTAGTTTCCTACTGATATCTGTAACTCCATTTTCTGGAATAGAAATGCTAAGCAGTACTGCAGATGGCATGGGAGCAGAAATCACTTCAGTCAATGATGTTTAAAAACATACTCACACAGATACGCTCTGAAAATGGTGAATGCTGCTGCACTTTTATAGACAATCTCAAAAATAAGGTGTTTCCATGAAAAGTTTTGACGCTTCTGCACATAATCCAAGGAAGCTGACCCGTGTGTTACACATTTAGGGGGATGTTTGATGGGTATCAATTCTTTCTCTCCAATACAGGGTAAAAACCAAATGTGTAAATAGGAGGCTTGTGCGACCGGCCTCCTTCAATAAGCTTCAGTGCCCCCACAGACTCAGCCCTACCTTTCCTTTCTTGAGAGCAGTGTAGACATCTTTATATTGCTGGTACTTTTCCAGCTCTGCCTTCACCAGCACCTGACGGATGTGCATGACCTCCTCCACTGTCAGAGACAGACATTCCACCGGATAACAGAACTCCTCCTGGAAGCCAAAAAACCTGTATTATTTCAAAGTCAAATGGCTTCTTCCAGACTTCAACCTATACAACCAGCCACCTGGTTAGTAAGTCCAGAGAACAGAAGGTTTCTCCCTTCAAAACGGAATAGCACCAGCTCATTCATGGGCATCACATGAATTCCAAACCATCAGAGACTGCATAAGCATGATCTAAATGGTCTGATGTTCAGCCTTTACAAGAATGACAGTTTTCTTCATCTTTCCTACTCAAACCACTTGACCCCTCTTTCTGTTTGTCTTATATTATGATTTGTATCAAACCAATCAACATTCAGGTTTCCAATTTGAAAGGGAAAAGGTAATTTGGCAAATGGCATTACTTTTAAGAATACTGTTTGAAAACACGCGATTTCTCTGAGACTTTGTGATGCCCAGAGTGGCCAAGGAAAGTTGTTAGTAGCCCACTCTAACAGAAATGTTTATTCAGTGGTACCATGTCTTGGTGCTCACATGATCAGAATCCTACCAAGACTACAAAAGGTTACCTCAGTTCAGGAACAGAAATTCTCCTTTCTGCCCCAGGAAACTAACAGCAGCAATTTAAGCTTTATAGAATAATCTTCAAATATAAAGCAGGAGAACGGGTTACCCAATGTTGCATTATTAATGGCAGAGACTCAAATAGAGACTGACAACTTTCCATTTACAAAATTTTGCATCTGTTCTGTATTACAGCATTTAGAAGAATACTGTGCAGAGAACTCCTGCATTTGGTACCAGAGAATAAAAAGCACCAACCCAATTTGTAATCCAGCCCTGTAGTTGATTATACGTTTCCAACAGAAAGACAGAAACCTCTGTGGGAACTCCCATCACTTTATGCTTGGTGAACCTTTTCAGTCAGCCCAGAGGGGCTACTGTGTGGTAATGACAATGACATGTAATGCTCTCTGAATAAAAGAAGGAAATTTCTCCTGCAAATACAAAGATGTGGCTGACAGTTTGGAGATCTCGTTTACAAATTGAACTGATGAATTGGATTAGCAGTGAAATGCTCCATTTCCATGTTCTCAGAGGTCTGTTTTGTCTTTCCATTAGATTAAAAAGAAAATCTTTCTACGTTGCAGACCTGGCAAACATTAGCATTTAGGAACCACCACATTTTTAAAAACTGTTGTCTTACCTATCTAGAAAGGGAACACAAAGAAACTTCACTCTGTTTAAAGTACCCCACAAAAGACTAGAATTGAGTTAACTTTGTTAGACTTGCCAGCTAAACCTTTGGGGTATATAATCACTAGTTTTCTGGAAAGAACAATCTACATCAAAACCAACTGCAGTTTGCTCCGAGGTGTAAAACTGCACAGCCAAACCAAAATAACTTCTGTTCCTTATGAGCAAATTCACAGCTAACCAGCAGCTCTCAGCGTTTCATTCTGGGTTCTCCCCATAGCAACTGCCTCACTATGGAGAAGGCTGGGGAGAGATGGGAGAGGAAGTGGGTGGGAAAGCGAGATGCATACAATGCCAGCAACCCCCCTCGAGTCTGCATTGTGGGAGACCGGCAGAAACTGTCTGAGGCAAATGAGGCTGACTGAATACTTGTAATCAATCAGAGCCTTAAGGCCTTTAGAAAGACATTTCTTACTTGAAGCTCTTCCTTCCCCCTCATGAACAGCCATTCCTTTAATTTACAGAACGATGATGTCAGGGAATATTGCTCCTTTGAAGAAAGTCTGCGGATCTGCTACAGGTGTAGAGCAGGGACTAGGGGAGTAGTGTGGATCACTTGTACCAATCGAAAATGATTATCACTAAAGCAAATAGGTATAGCCAGCAGGCGACAGGGGAAACAGAAAACGTTCACATGTTTAAATGCTAATGTTTTAATTCCAGAGCTTACACAAGGACAACAAAATGTTAATGCAACATTAAATGAAAGATAAATATTATGCCGATTTCAGAAAACCACTTGACTTCCCTTCCTACCCCCTCCCCTTTTTGGTATAGAAATAAGTAACAAGAAAATCTTTTGTTTCTACACTACCTCTAAGGCATTGAAATTAATTAAAATTACTCTAAGCACTGGCTAAACTTCATTAGGCAATGATGCTTTGGAGTTATTGCTCAAACTTCCAACAATAATCTGCACCCAAATGAGGCAGCTCCAAGTGAGAGAACTCCAGCTCTCTGCAACACTCACATACAACAGAACATACTAAAGACAAAATGTGGTTTAAATGGTCTTGATTTTCTGGAATTATAATAAATACTAATTATAATATTAAAGAGATGTCAGCATTCTTATTTTTAAAGGGGGAAAAAAATCTTACTTAAAAATACTATTTGGAACTTGCAGTTTCCATGATCCTTGTGAGAACTGGCTTAACACTTTGACTGTGCAGTCATGTTCTATACACCACAACAGCTTAAGGTGCATACATGTATTTTTTTTTTCTCAGGAAAAGCAGGTAGTAAGAATTACATATCCATAATGTGAAATAAATTACTTTGTAGGTCATCTTCAGCATACACACACCTAATAGGTCCTTATGACTTACACATTTTTACACTAATATATTCCTTGTAAAACTTCTTATTAAAGGGTGTCACTAGGCATTCAAATGACCTGCACTAGTAAACTGCAATATGACCAAGTGTCAGATTGGCCTCTAAATTCTTCAATTCCCAGTTAGTCAAGCACTAACTCGATGCTTTTGCAGACTACATGTTTTTAAGAAGTCAGCTGGATATCTCAACTATAAACTCTTCTGCAGTGGTTTCACACTATCACTTACTGGTTGGGACAAGAAAAAGAAGGAAAAAATGACATTATTCATGTTCAGTTCTACATAGGAGTAAATAAATTAATGTTTCTTTTCAGTGGGTTTGCCTTCCCTGGTACATAGCTATTAGTTATCCTGCAAGTTCTGGTACGTAAGCAAGCTGAGGACCAAAACAATACGTAGCTTTTCAAGTAAAACAGATTGCAAATGCCCTTCCATTCTACATAGCGTATCTTGGTAGAAACATAAAGCTTATCCTTTACAACATAGTCCAAGAATTACAATAGTTTTGCTGGACTTTTGATTCAGGATCTTCATACGCTGTAAGATTTAAGGTCTGTCCCATTGATAATCTTGTGATGTTGCATTTTTAGTTTGCTGTCCTTTCAGAACTGATTTCTTTTCCCAGTGAGGTGATTGAAGACACACAAATATTCTACACACATTGAAATCAACATCAATCAGGTGCAACGTCCCAACCTAAGCTTTAATTCTTGCCACAGTTTAGGAAGTGCTCCCCTAGGAGGGAACATGCTGGTGAAGGTGATTTCCAAAGCCAGCAAAAAGAGGCAAACCTTTGCGGGTTTCCACCTGCTGGCAAAAGCTCTCTCACAGAGATAGTACATAGCCCCTGCCACCCCACACATGGCTGCTTCAATGGGATGAGAGCTGAGCAGAGAAGCTGTTTGCATAGTTGAAAAAAGTGGTCTGAAAGCCGTCCTTGGAAATAAACTGGTTATCCTAGGAACCTGAACAATAGATATGAAGCAGAGAAGCAAATGCTGTGTATAAATGAAACTATTAGCTTTGGTCCTCTGGGTCTTGAAAAAAAAATAATGGTGATAATAATTATAATAATTAAAAAAGCAAACAGACTACAAAGGCATCCATATGTACGTCTCAGGACACTGGCTTCATCTCACTGATTAAGTACCAGGTCAGCTCACTATGGCAAGCACGCCACCAAACCTAAACCCCCCCAAATCACTGAGCTGCCTTGCCTTTCCATGTAGCACTGCCTGGGTGACATATCAAAAGGACTGTTTGGCATTTTTCCAAGTTTATTTCCCCTCCCCACCTACTTAGGTCTGACTCCCTGTGTCTGATGAGATGCCAGTTCACAAAGCCATCGTTAGTATGCAAGACAGACCAGTTTCCTGCTAATCCTGCTAAGAGACTGTAGCAAACTCCTGCCTGTTTTCACTGGCATTGAGGGCTATTCATTGACAAGGCCTCTTTCACCTTGGAGAGAAACGCAGTCACAGGAGCAGGTGATAAGAAATGAAACTCCATCAATCCTGGAGGAAGGGATGAAGAAGTGTGAAGTCAAATAAAAAGTAAATAATAATTCTGCACTTATTGAGAAGCGTTCACTCCGGGAATGGCAACATTATATATGCAGCATCTGGCGCAGCCACTGAAAGAAGCTCGCATCCCTCTGGGGAAGGAAAGACTTGCAGTAAGTCAAAGCGTGGAACTGGGCCTGTGCCAGCATATCAGAAATCATCTACCAAAACTAAAAACAAAAGTACTGTGGGAGTTGTCTGTCATACCCTAGAGGGCACTATTGCCAAGTTAAAGACTTGGCTCTTTAGGCATCAAATAAAATAGGTTATTAACAAAACATCATTTCATTACTGGTTTTTCCTTCTTTCTCACTTCATAGCAAAAACCAAGCTAGGTGACAGTTCTCTCAAGATTAAAAAAACCCCATTCACACACAAAAAAACCCAATCAAACAAAAGAAACCACAAAAATACCCCAAGCATAAAAGAAACTAGAAAAACCTTTCCTGTCTGTGTCTGTTCCCACATTAGCCTGACTTAATTAATGCTTTTTCTCCCTTTTCCTCTAGTATTTTTAAGGGCGGTGTGTGTGTGTAGAATAACTGAGTTAGTTTTTTTGCAATGATTTTATTTTGCATATATTTTTCTAAGCATAAGTCAGTGAACAAACAAAGAGGGAACATATAATGCTTTCTACCCTCCTCCCTTTAAACAATATCTCTGTGAACGATTCTGGGCCTATCGGAAAATAAAGCTTGTTCTTCCACTGAGTGCAGCAGGCGATCCATTTTATGTGATAGTGTCTTCAAACACATGCTGAAGGAACCCTCCAGCTTGGTTCTGGTGCAGTATGTTCTGCTCCAAGTTCACTCTGACAGAGGTCTACTCGTGTTGTGCGTTTATCAACATGGTACTACCAGACCTTCAACTGGAATCAAAAACTACATTCTACTTGGAAAGATATAATAGACAAAATCCAGCAGACCCTCTGAAAAGGAGGAAGCATGTTGTGGGAATATCTGGAGATTATTTTCTTGTTACTGTTCACTTGATCATCTAATAGGTTTGGATCCCAAACAACATTTCTCGGGCCAACAAAAACACTCTTCAAAGGCCATTAATATCACTGTGCTACAAGATGGGACAAGTGAATATTCCCTTCCTTTCGAAACTAGTATGTGTTTATCGATTTCTCTATTCACTAGCACCTCATGGGGCATACTTTAAACCCTGCTGATAGGAAAATAGATGAGGAACACATCCTGCATGACATTACAAAGCACTAATCAGTATGTCAGCATAAACGAACCAGGATTTCATACCCTTTGCTGTTTATACCCTGTTGGAAAACAGCTCTCAATTAAGGCTAATTGATCAAATGTACTGTACTTTCTTTTCAAGCAGTAATAAAGGTTTTTGCCTCAGTAACTTCAACAAAGCAACATAGACAAACCTTGATTTCGATTACTGAAAGAGCTTTCATATGTATAAACATTACCATACAAGATCTTAAGGTGGGAAGGAAAAACACCATTCCATTCATTCAGCCATTAACTGAAATAATTCCAACAACTAAAAAAACCCCACCCAAATCCCAAAATAGATCCACTGCTTTGGAATTGTCTCTATTCAAATGGAAAATCAGTAAGGTGAAGTTCATCTGTTTGGGCAATGATCTGAAATAAAATCAAGACACGTGGCTTTACCCAGAGTCCTAATCAGAGTGCAAATGTTTTCTGAGGCACCTGTACCTGGGACTGTGGATAAATACGCTAGCAAGACAAAGTTCAAATCTTGATTTCAAAACGTCTTTAGTAGCCAAGGGCTGTTTCTGAATTGAGAAGTTTTCTTTGAGACAAGTTCTAATCACACTGAAGCCAAGTTTTAATTTTCATTATACTCCTAGCATGCCTCTTTTTCTCTTTCCTACCACCCACTCCACTTACAAGTGATCTGGAGCTCTGTTTTGAAGGTGGTAGGAACTGTCTCACATTGGTTGGCGTTTCCTTTTCAATGGAGTGCCGTCTCTGAGGTGGCTGCCGTCTCTCAGGCTGTGGCGTAGATGATATGGGCAAGAACTTTGGAGGCACTGAAGATTCAACCAGTATTAAAAAATTAGTTCTTGTAAGTCAGACTGTTAGATAACATTGCTTAGTACTAAAACCAGCCACTGATTTGCTAGAATTCCCACATCCATACTCAGAGCATCAAGACAGGTACCACATTCATCACATTTTCCAGATTAAGAAAATAGGAATACCCATAAAAGTAGCAAATATAGGCTAATTTCTACACTAAGCTGTCCAGTCAGCATTGTATATAAGTTTGGTGTTTCAGGGTGTTGGCTTATTCTAATTATTTCACCTCTGTACAAAGAAAGTACATGCACAGATTACATGTTTCATTACAAAACCTTTCCAGTGAAACTGAAAGACTTTGAAAGAAATGAAAAATAATGTTACACAGGAAAGTCTACAATAACTGTGCCAGAAACAAAAAGGAACAGATACTTCTCTCTTCCCAGTAAGTACTTAAGAAAAATAGAGTCTTTCAAACAAGTACATTCACTGCCATGGTGACAGAGATGCAGGAAACATTTAAATTGGTCTTGCGTTAGAATGTGGTTTTGCAGCAACAAATTCTTCCATGAGAAGAGCATAGCTCGACTACCCACCATTCACTTCTGAATTCCTCTACAGTCCATCAACTTCAGGTATGAAACTTTCTGTTTCACAAAAATATCTACATATAGAGGAGGCTAATGCCTTCCAATCATTAATCACAGGTGACCTATTCACCAGGTTATAGGGTTCAGCTTTAGAGATTTATTCCATTAACAACACTCAGCATCAGCTTTCTATGAAAGTTTCAGCCAAAATTCATAGAATAGATAACAACACAAGTGTGTAAAAGCAGCCACTGGGCTCTCTCATCAAAACTCACTCTTTCTGCTGCTGGTACCTTCTTGAGAGGGGTCTTCCACTTGTGAGGGGGAGATGCTGCTGCTACTTGCCGATTTGTGCACTGATTCCTCCTGTGTGTCAAGAGAAAAAGAAACAGAATTCCTCAGGGATTTTTTTTTTCTTCTCTTTTTGCTTCTTAGCACACAGAAGTCACAAGCTGTTAAAAGTATTTTGCACCATTCAAACACTCAAAGCCCTAGAAGTCCTGAGAAAAACGCATCACTCTACAAATTACTGAGTAAATGGAATTGTCAATGCTCAGCTTTTTTAGAAACTGGAATAATGGTTGGAATTCAGTGTATTTAAACTATCACATGAAAGAACAAGATCAGAAGAAAAGTGCATGAATTCAGAAGAGAGGTACATGAATCCATTGTAACCTGCTAATTTTCCTCAGCGTATTCAAGGACTTCTAAGGATTTCCAGCTACGGCAGATATATTTAACTCAACTTCATTTCTCATACTAGCAAGGAATCAGCACTTAGATTTCTCTGGTAACCAAAGGAATGAGAACCACTTACAAAAGTGACTTAGGTAAAGAGAAATTAATCTGATTCCCACTGCACTGTTCTCTAATCCTTAATCCTGGTGCATTTCTCCTTTCTTCTGTATTTAAAAGAAATCTCATTCATTATGTAAGTATGTTTCATCACAACAGCCAAGAGCAATTCCTGCAAGATGAATGAAAGTGAAACAAGCTTTGACTAACACCTTTCAGCTATCTACAGCATTATGCCACCCAAATTAAATCCTTTGCTTTCACCTAAAAGCTGTCTTCAGCCATCAGATACCAGCAAGATATGGATCATCACAGGAGCCTCCCAAAGGAACTGAGTTGAAGGACTGAGTGTGAATGCTCTTTAGCTCTCATGTGAAAGCTTTTAACCAAGGAGACTTACATCATTTAAGTTGTCAAGCTTTACAGATCAAACAAGTGACCTGCTCTAAAATCCAGCAAGTGTCAAAGCTTCTCTCTCACACATTTCCTTAGTTACGTGAATTGCAAGCAGGAAAACCTCCACTGGCTGAAAGACTGTCTTCTTTGGTAACAGCAAGTTGGAAGGGAAAAGCTGTCAGAATCGCCTCAAAGAACACCATGCATCCCAGGACAGAGGCCTCTACAAATTCCCATCAGGTGATCTGTACTTTATGCTTAGTCCAAGGGTACACATTGTATGTGAGGACACTGATATATACTGTTCCCACATATATGCCACAACACGCTATTCTGCAAAGAGACTCAAACCAGCTCAGATCCCAAACCTATATATTCACTTTAACATACCAAGTATGACCCCGCAAAAGGGTTGTGATGGGAAGCTTGTAGGGAAGTTTAAGCAGCACATTCAGCTATGTGAGCTGTTTCACTTCCAGAAACCAGTGTAGTTTAACTACACAGCTAGCTCAGATAGCTTTGCATATCACTGCTTCATGCTACATGGTTGCTTTAAAAGACCACTGGAGAACCTGCAAGACAATTGGACGCACTGTTCTTTAGAAGGGGTGCAACAGTGTTCACAACTCTAGAGTTAAACGTTCAAATTTTGTGAAAGAGAATAACCCCTGAACAAAGGGAACTATGAAACTTTTCACTTGGTAGAAGTCAAATTCTTCAGAGGGAAAGATTACTTTACTAGAAGCTAACAAGCTAAGATGAAGAACTAAGCAAGCTGTCAATTATTAAAAAAACATAACCATGCTGCCGTGCTGCTCATTTTTATGAATGAAGAGCAACCAGGGCTTCAGAGAAGGCTTTTTGAGAAGCAGGCAGGGAACAGCTGTCTCTGGAGCACAATCCAAGCACTCCTTGCTCTAGAGAAGTCTCTTGTTCTGTAGGACCTTACTTAGTCCTGACCAAAAATTTTAAGTGCTTCCAGTTGTCAGCATCTTATGCTGTAGAGTTTTACAAAAGACTGAATCGTGGTTCAAGCAACAGTCTATGCACTGAGTTTATTTACGCACTTTTCAGGGGGTTTTTGCTCTCCTTTTCCTTCCGTATTTCCTCTGTCTGAAACACTGGCACATAGAGAAGAGAGACAAAACACGGTGCACAACTGAAAATATCAAAAGCCTATAAATATTTTAACGTAGAACTGTAGAACAGGGATTACAGAAACATTTCACATGCCCATCTGATTTTGCTAGTTGCCACCTTTCAGTGGAAAGAAATAGCTACTGACCATTTTCATTCCACTGCTTAACTTGGGAGGGAGATCATGTCTCAGTCACATATTGCAAAAGTAGGTATCACCCAGATGTCTCCATCTTGCTCCCATTTTTGTGAAAGATGTATAGTTACTTCATTAGTAGTGGATGAACACTGGCTATTCCACTGGCCTAGAAGTCTCAAAAAAACCCCAAAACCCAACCCAAAAAACCCAGAATGAAAAAAATGGGCAAAAATAGAGAATAAAGAGCTTCTCTATGGTGAAGACCTACAAGATTCCAGGAGCCACATTTGTTCTAAAGAATGAGAAGGAATGAAGTGTCAAAGCCAATGGCTAAGTACAATAAATATTAAGTATAAACAACCAACCCAGGGAAAACGGAAACCAGGAGTATGTTAAATTTGACGTATCATCCTACTTAGACAACAGGTATTCCTGGTTTATCATTTCAAATTACTTCTTCTGTGCACAAACACAGGTACTGAAAATGCTCTTACTGCCATATGATTTCTCAAACATTCAAGGCTTTTTTGAGAATGAAATCTTGTGTAGGTTGTACTGATGAACCATTGTACGAATTTCTTCAATTGTCAATAATGTCAATACAGTAACTTGACTATTTTGGTAGAATATTTGTCATTTTACATTTGAGGTTGGATCAACCCAACGTCTGGGACTGTGCACTTCTCTATAGAGGACTAAACGATTAGAATTTTACATGTACTGAGAAAGTCGCAGCTTTAAAGGCATCATCTTAAAACACCTGAATATGTTACTGACGTGATTTTTGTCTGGATATCTGTAGCTTTATTAGGAGGATACCATTTTCATATCTGCATCAAAAATCACGATTAGATTGTTGCTTCACTTAGCCACACAAAGAAAAACGGCACTTCTTTCTCCCTCTCCGAAACTGTGATTCTAGTGGTAATGCAGAAAAAAGCAAGGTCAAAAAGTAGGAATGGTTTGTACAATATTGATCCTTGCCAGCAAATGGACATAGGGTTATATCAGACCTTCCCCTTCACTGCTGGTTGACAACAAAACGTTGGGGCATAATCTGCATCACAGCTGAGAGAAGAACAAAAGGGATGAAGGGGGAAGAAAACAGGTATGCATCATAGCTCATTTGGAGGTCTGCAGCTAAGCAGCGCAGGTATTCACAGCCTGTAATTTAGGGCATAACATAGTCATAGTTCAACTCCCAGTGAGTAAGTCTAAATAGGTTAAGCCAAATTCAAATTGCAGGCAAAGAGGTGGCAGAGTCATTTATAGGCAATCAGGACAACACATATGCTTTTCTGTGTGTTACATACAAAATGAAAGTCAGGAATAGAAGAAATTCTGACAGAGAGATCTTCACTTTCTTCAATCATTTTGTGTCCCACCCCCTTCTTCAGCTTGGAAAATTTCACCCAAACACCCTTCAGTTTTTTTATTTTCACTTCTTAAGCTCTGTTCCTGAGCCCCAACCAGTATTCTGCTGAGCACCTTAATCATCTTAATTGCTTCACCAGCTAATTCTGTTGACTCAAACCAGTTCAGCATCTATTCTCTGTGACAGCTCGATGCGGCCAATTTATTTTCAATGTACCTTTTGCTGTATGTTCCAGAGCTTATTCTATATGACTTTGCTTGCCTACACAGTATTCCCCAATCAATAGTCACAGTCAGACATGTTATTTTTCCCTCGGTCAAGAATCACTTCACGTTTCCCTTTACAGAACTTTATTTTACTGGCTTCTGCTCATTTTTCCGTGTGAAATATCATGCTGCATTAGCTTCAGGATGCACAGAGCTGGGAAGCTGTGCATTCAAGATTCAGTTCTCATTGACAGGTCTTAATATTCCTGCCTCTTGCCCAGCTTCATTCACATTAACAAAACCTCATATAGCCTCTATTGTCATTTTAAAGACTGCTGAGAGATTTCAGAATGGAAGTCTCTTCTGCTTTCAGAATAGATGCACCAAATTATGCACCCACACAAGACACCCACAGGATAACCCCTGAATACAAAGATAGCCAACCTTTCGCAGATCAAGAAAGTATGCAAAGAGACAAATTTCTCCCCACATATATTCTTCCCCAGCCTCCTATGTTTCAGCTTAGAGGCCTTTGTAAGCACCCTGTCAGGAAATCCCTCCTTTCCCACTTAACTGGAGAGAAAGGGAGTCAGGGAAGACTGCCTCCGCCAGGCTAACATCAGCCTCCATGAATAAACCCTGCCTGCATGTGCTTTCCAGACAGCTTAACTTTCAGAAAGGTACAAGCTCAATTAATACTACTGCTGGTCCAGTAGATAAAGCTCATTCTTGAGGATCATATATTGCAGTTTTTAAGCTAGAGGGCTTTTGAAAGCTTTTCTCCTTCTTACGCATTTTAAAAATCTTCATTTGAGAGAGGATAGAGTCAAAGTTGTTCCTCCACCTAAGTGGTATGCGCATGCCCCTATGTGTGAAACATTTACTCAGTGTTACTTCACAAGCCTTTATACCAAACTAACACACTGACATTTGCACCAAACTGCAACCCCTCTGGCACGGCTGATGCTCTTTATTTAACATCAGGTACAGTGAGGCTGGCCTCACATCTGAGTCCTTTAGTGACAGCTCCTGCCAGAAGGGTACAACACATTTCCCTGCATTCCCAAAGGCATAATTGCTATGTATACACTGTGGACAGATACTTATATTAGAAAAATAAGTAAATTCTGGGTTTAAGGACAAAATTAGCATTCAATCTTTTAAAAGAATATTCCCATTTCCGAGGTCTGATAACATTTTTTTTAAGTTCTGTGGGCCAACAAAGCAGCCACGGAAAATTCAGATGATAATTTGCAAACTCACTTCTCAGCTGATCTGTTCAGTGAATTAAGGAGTAAGACTCAATTCTGACAAATTGAGAAGAATCTTGATTTTTTTTTTACCTCTGAATCTGAGCTGTCAAGTTCAGCCAACGTGGGAGCCTTAAGGAGTCTCTTGCGTTGCGCTGTCGCTTGTGTGGCCCCATTCTGCTTTCCTTGCGGTTCCAGGCCACCGTTCACTACAGAGGCATCCATCAATTTTCTTCCAGCCTCTGGCGTAGATACATCTAGAAAAAGAAACAGAACAATTGGTGTTTGGACCCGATTTTTATTTTACCTTCCCAAATCTCATTGTCAAGGCAATACACACAAAGGAAAAAAGAATTATTGCAATAGTTATATACGTGCAATCATTTTACTTTAGCAATACATTGCTTGGAGAACTACAAGCAATGGCTTGTGGTACAGAAGCAATATGAAAGAATGAAAGCAGTGGAAAAAGCAGCAGTGCACAATACTAAAAACTCACACCAACACCAATGCATTTTAAAAAATAATCGTGTGTTAAGCCTGGAAATATTCTTCCTTCAACCTATAGTTTGTAATCAACTATATAACAAGTATTAGAAGATATGTATGTGGATAAGTGAGTTTCCAGTGTATCTGAAGACAACGCTATACAGAAATTAGGAGGTTTAGCATGGAGTAAACCTAGTTTTTCCTGTGAGGACAGAATTACACTTTATTCTGCAGTATACAGAGGGGAATGAAAACGAGCTAAATAACTAGTGTTCATCAAAATATGCACAATCCTTAGGCTTGGTGGTCATTTGTATTAAAAATATGTCTGTGATGTCAGACATCATGTAACAGCAGAAACATGAGGCTCCAGCTCTATTTTCATCTACGTGAGTTTTACAAGGATGTAACCCCACTGAGTAAATTACTCAGGATTTCCACCAGTGTGCAATGAAGATGCATCTTGGATAACGTAAACACTGAGTCTGCTGTGCTTTGCCTAGCTTAGCTTAGACATTAAGATAATGACCTAAGCTTTGATATATTAGGAGATCTTAGAGTTTGGTCTGATAAATCAGTTTTATCCCTGTAAAGTACAAAGTACAGTATTCCAATCTGAAGAAAATTATGTTGGAGGGAGAAGGAAGAGAAGCTTTTAATGTCCCATTTGCATGTATGCCTAAGCATCTAGTCTTTCTACAGATGTGTTTTTCTACCCATGTAATTATAGGACTCTTTCC